ATTTTCTTTGGGTTTCTCTTTATTCCCGGGAAGGTACATCTGCGACTACCGCACTACACAAGACCAATAAAGACGAAAAAAGAGAAGCAAGTTTAATAATAAACAGATGCATTCATAAAGTCCCTCAGCTATGCACGGAAACCTCAAACCCGTCTCTTATTTTTTTCTTCGGTTTTTTTTATGACGGTTTTTTTATTGTCCCACTGCCAACCCGCCATCATCATACATACGCTGGTGTTGCTAACACCTCGGAAATTTTCTTCAAGGAGGCCACACAGGCATCATGCCTCGCTCCTTCTGCATCGAAAGGAGCCTTTCCAACTCCCCTTTTTTATCGCCTTGGTTTTGCAGCTCGACTTGTAGGTTGCCATGGGCAAAGAACTCTAACAGCACACCAACCGGGTCCTCAGGCCGCTGCATCAACAGTTTTCGCATCGCACAGCGCATGGTGGCGTCAATCTCTGGGTGTTCCCGCAAGTATTTAGCATGGGCGATCTTTTCCTCCGTGAGGTTGCGACGCATATTCTGCAGCTCCTCGGGTGTCATGATCGCAGTGGCCGCTTCTGTGAGAGTCGGAAAGCACTCTGAAGCAGGGTCATAGCTGCTGCTCGTCACGGCACCTCCCACTCGTTCCATATATCCTCCTTTTTGAAAAAAAATCGGTGGGTGGCGAACTCACGCAAAAAAAAAAAAAAAAAAAAAAAGGGGGTGGGGGAAAGAGGCAGACGTCCCACAGACACGCAGAGAAGGGCCCTCCTCTGAAATCGCAGGATGGGCAGGGAAGGAGCACGTGGAATAACAACAACAAAAACAACAAGATAAAACACAAACCTTACAGACGTGACAACCAAAGCGGGTACAAACAAACAAACAACAACACAGAAAGCGGTTCTAGGCGGAGCTAGTACAAGTGACGGTCATCCACTTCACGCATTATTAAACAAGAACGATAAAAAGTTTTGGAAAATAAAGGGGAGGCATAGTCCCCACCCCAGACCCACAAAAAAAAAAAAAAAAAAAAAAAAAAAAGAGAAAGCACTCTTCGCCTTTCCTATCCTCCCTGCGAAGCCAACACACAAAAAAGTGGATCTACTCCAAACTATTGGACACTCAAAAGAACACAAGGAAAACAAACAAATCAAACCAAATCACCACAGTGCAGTTGGTTTATGACTTTGGTGCGTCATCGCTCGCCCGGTATGCCGCTCTGCTGCACGTTTTTCCTCTGCTCTCCACCGTTCTTCTGTTATGCCACGAAGTGTCTTTTGTGGTGCTTTGGGTGGGGGTGGTTGGCCAAAAATAAAGTCTGGCATTTTCTGGTTTGCACTCTGGTGGCAGCGAGCCCTGGATCGGCGAAGCATATCTTCGTCAAAGCAATCCTTTGATTCATGTTGCGAGGAGCTGGGCCGTACTGCTACACGAGGCGTAACTCGGACTCCAACAGCCGGCGGATCGGGGTAATCATTCTTCGAGAGCAGCACATTGTCCCGCAATCCCCGGTGTTCACCTGCGCCACTGGAGCGTCGTGGAGGATTTTCAGGCGTTGGTTTAGACTCCGCATTACGATAATGCGCCCCGCGATGCTCAGTGAGATTGTCAGGACGCGGTGCAGAGTCATCAAGTGCAAAAGGAACATGCACTTGAATCGCCTCGCCCGGTTTTCCCAAATCCATTGCTTTTTTCTTTTCCTTTAGATTGGCACACCGCGCATGACTTCCCTTTGCATATTCTACTGAAGCAATACGCCGTGCGAGACGTTCTTCTTCACGTACAATTGATGAATTTCCAGCGTGGCGCAAAACTTTTTGTGCCGCCTCACGGTAGGACGGATTTTCGGCAATATTCAAGGCACGCGCCTCTGCTATTTGCACCGAGGTACATGTATTTCTGTTGAGTGGTTTTACACAACGCCGTTCCGTTGTCGTAAAGCTTTCCCTCGGAGCGAGAATACTGGAAACAGTGTCTTTACCAGCACCTGTAGCACCTTGCACCCGTCTTTTCCCATATCGACCTTCCTGACGCTTAGCGTCGTCTGAAAGACTGATGTAATGCGGATCAATGTGCTTTTTGCCACGGTATTCTTCCTCTTTCCCACGCGCAAAGCGCTGTGGATGTACGTGGGGCCGAGCCTCGCGCTCACACACACCAGTTGCGGGTGTTATTCCAAATTCAGAGTGCACCAACTTGTATTCACACGTTGTACGTGGACCCCGCCGGCCACTGGCATGATTCGTGCTGTTCTCCTTTGCACCCGTTTCGCTAAAAACGCTTTTTTCGCCGTTGTTACACATTACTGTTGGTGATGTCGCCTTCGCAGAAAGAACACACACAGACACACTCCCCTTCACAATTAAAAATTAATAAATAAATAGATATGCGTCCTATGCACCAATTCTGCAGCGCATTCAAATAAAAAATGCACCAGAAAAAAAAAAAAAAAAAAAAAAGAGAAAAAGAGATGTAAAGAGGAAAAAAAAAAGAAGAAAGAACCCCTCCACTCTCGGATGTTCGCTCCTCTGTTGCTGTTTTTTTTTTTTTTCTCCTCGACTCTAATAATACTCATTTAAAATATACAATTCAGTACAGCAAGCATGCAGCCCCTCTGAGAGCACATCTCTGATATTCCCTAGACAACTCGTCTCCAGCCTCTCCACAGCCATCAGCAAACCAATTTCTGCTAAAACAAAGCAAGAATATAATGGGGGAGGGATAAACAACAAATTCAACGTGGCTCAAGCAAAAGCAGGCTCTGGAGCTGCTGTCGCAAGGGCTCTCTTTCGCTTTCCACCTTCGCAAGCCGCCCTTCCAAGACACGATTCACCTTCTGCAGCGCCCCATTTTCTTCTGTCATCGCGTCAAATGCCTTCTCTTGAAGCCAACATGCTTCTTGCAGTTCCACCACACGTTGTTCAAGTGTCTCAATTTGCACCTGCTTCTCCGCCAGCTGGCGGCTGAGATCCTTCGAGTGTTCCTCAGCTGCCTCGCTACGAAACTTTTCCGCCTGCAATAAACGTTGTATTGATTGATGAGCGGTGCGTGTCTCGCTAATTTCTTGTTGCAACGCCTCGATGGTTCTTTCTGCCTGTCTCGCCCGCGACATTTCATCGTTTTGTCTCTGCTGTAGCGTCAGGTTGGATGCCGCCAGTTGCTCACGGATTTCATGCAGCGCCTGTCCCGTTTTGTTCTGCGAATTGCGTGCCTCCAGTAACTCTCGCTCAAGACGATGAATATCCTTCTGCAAGAGCTCCTTTGTGTTATCCGCGTCACGGCGAATTCCTTGCTCTTCCTCACGCGCGGAATTTAATCGTGCCTGCACATTCTGCAGCTCCGCCCGCAACTCCTCTACCTGCCGCAAAAGTTGCTCTTGCCGTCCCTCTTCACCTTGCCGTCGTGCCGCACGTTCCAATTGAAGCTTAGCAACAGTTTCTTGCCACTGCCTCCGTTCTGTTTCCAACTCACGTTTCTTGGCAGCCAGTTGCTCTTCAAGATGCTCCACACGCGCACAGACCTCGTTGTATCGCGATGTAACGTCCTCTAATTTTGTATATGCTTCATCGGAAAGGCGCTGTGCTGCAGCAGCCTTCGACTGTGCTGTCGCCAGTTGCGTTGCCAGCCCCTGCTCCCGTTCCGTCATACCGCGAGTCATGCGACGCACACGCTCCTCACAACTCATGTTTAGATGATGACTGGACTTCTGGAACGTCTCTTCACGTTCACGCAGATAAATAGTTGTGCTATGATATAGACGCTTAAACACCGCCGCACACTCGTCAACATAGGCATCCACAATACCACCCGCTATAGCAACCCACATGACGTCATCGTTTGTTTCCTCGTGATGCACATTTGCTGTTTCTTCTCCGGAATCATTTACATTGTCGTTGTCGGCGCCGATATTCCCGATATTGACGTTGCTACCATCTGGGGTAACCAATTGCACTTCAGAGGTGGTGTTAGCAGTATTATTATTAGTATTAGTAGTGGTAGCGGGAGTTGTCTTGGTATTGGTAACCATGGGAGAGGAAGCAATAAAAAGGCGTTGTAGACGCTCTAAAGATTCCCAAAAAAAGGCGTACGGCCGTAGTGAAACTTGTTCCACCGACGATGTAAGATCACTGAGGAAAGTGTGGAGAGCGCTGGAGAACGCTGCAGCCAACTCATAATTTTTCCAGACTCCTGGCCTGGAAGGGGAAATTAAATCGTCTTCCAACGTTGATGTCGGTGGTGAAAGGGTTCGGCTACTGCTCGGCTCCCCGTGTGATTTTTGCGGTGGCAGTTTGGAAAAAATTTCCCTTGGAGTTGTCGGTAGACGAATCACCGGAGATAATTCAAGGGGCTTCATGACCCCCGAGATTTCGGCTGCATCGTCGGTTTCAATGCGAAATGTCATCGCATCCAACTCTTCACGCGGTGGGCTGAGACTGGGTATGGAGACGGACCGTGGCTCATCAAGAATTGCGAGGAGACGCGTCGTCGCTCTCTTTGCAGTTGCCTGCAGCAGAAAAGCAACTCGTGCAAACTGTTGAGCGGGGCTTGGCGGTAGTTGGCGCAGACAATCCTGCACACTTTGCTTTTGTTCCTCAAGCTTTCCACGCAACTCTTCTATATTCGTTTGTGCTGCATTCAGTGAACCAACAAGCGCCTGCACATGTTCACGCTCTTGCATTAACTCCGTTTCAATCTCCTCATAGCGGTCTACAGGAACCGTCTCCGCCGCTAGACCTTTTGCCTTCTGCGAGGAACGATGAAGGGCATCTTGCATCTTTGCCGCCTCAATCTCGGCATCACACAACTGACGATTAAGCGTGGCTATAGTCGAATCTTTCGCCCCCAGCTCTGTCTCCTTACTGCACTGAGCCTGCTCTAGTTTCTCCCAAAGTTCTGCATTCTCCGCAATAAAAGATGCATTTTTTTCCTCCATGCCGCGCCGCAGTGTTTCCAGTTCGTGAGTGACTTGCGCCAACTCCGCCTCGTGACGCTCGCGCAACCACGACATTGTCTTCTCTGTCTCCGCCGTATTGCTCTCTAGCTCCGTACGAGCCTTGAGCAGCTCACCCCTCAGCTTACACTCAACGTCCCTCATGCATTTCATTTCATCTTGCAGTTCCTTTATATGATGAATATCATTCGAATCATGTTCACAAAGTCGCCGCTGCAATTCCTGCTTCGACTGTATCATCTTTTCCATCTCATCCTCGTGTTGTTGCAATTGCCGCTGGTAGCGGGAACGGCTGTTTTGTACAACTTGCTCCAAACGGGTGTTCTCTGCCCGTAACTCCGCCATTTCCTGTGAATTCTTTGCACGTAGTCGTTGGTTCTCCGCCTCTAGTTCCTCTACCCTTCCCTGAAAGGCGAGTTGCTGCTGCCTAATCACCTGTAACTGTTCCTCGCCGGATGGAGAGGAAAGTGCAGCCGCCAGACGTCCCGCTGCTGACACCGCCGACCTTTCTTCCTCGCGCCATTGGTTAATTTCCAAACGAAGTGAACGAATCTCACGCTCCATTGTGCGCCGCTCATTTTCCAGATCCTCATGAAGATTGGCAAGCTCTAAGGCACCCTGGCGCCGCGTCTGCTCTAATTCACACTGGAGTGCTGCCTTTTCCGCACGTTTTTCTTCCTCTATTGCCGCAATACGAAGATTTGTTTGACGTTGCACTTCAAGAGTGTCAAACTCACGCAATCGGTCGGTTTGTGCATCTAATGTCTGCACTTCCTCCTTAAGTGCCACGAGCGATAGCCTCAACTGCTCATTCTCCCGACCCAAATTAGTTGCCTTGTCAAGCGCAAGCTGCCGTTCGGCGGTGGCTCGTTCTAGGTCGGAGTCGCAACGACGCAGACGCTCCTCCAACTGTTGCAGAGCGCGCGATAGTTCAATTACAAGATGCGATGTTTCCTCTAGAGAATGAGCAAACCACTGCCCCAGCTGCCCCGGTGTGAGGCTGGAATCAGCGGTCACACCGACCGCGGCGACGGTCGGCAAACGCAGGCGCGTCAACTGCGAAACCGCGACTGGGGACAGCTCCCGTTTTGTGTTGTGGCTACGTCCTGCATCCAAAATGAGTTCCTGCAGTTGGTTGTGTAGTGTGACAAGCATGGAAGCAGCGGTAACCATTTCCACAGATGGCTTTTGAGAGTCGCGATAAAGCGCTGAAGTTTTGGCTAATTCCTGCTGCCGTTCTCGAAGATTTTCTTCTGCCTCACGCTGAGCCGCATGGGCACGCAACAATTCACGGTCCTTCTCCTCTACTCGCAGCCGCATCTCCTCTAGAGATGCCTCCGCCGAGCGCCGTGCTGCTTCCGCTGCTTCACTCCCCGCGCCGGCGAGCCGTGCTGTTTGAACGGCGCTCTCAAGGTCTCGCTTTAGCGTGTCGTGCAACAGTTGCTGCTCTTGTAATTCCCTTTCCAATTTTTTTGCATACACGTGCGACTTTTGCTTCTCCTCTTCCTGCTGGCGCAGCTGCTCGCGAAGTGAAACTTCCATTTTCCGCGATCCTCCTTGAATCACTGGCGATGGATGGTCATCTGCACCGAGATTTCGCGTGGCTTCAAGACGCTTTAGGTGCTGCTGAAGCTCCCTTATCCTTGCGGTAGCTTTGTCGCGTTCCCCTGCAAGCTGAGAGCAGCGGCCTTTCAACTGATCCAACTGCCCAAGAACTTCCTGCCCGACTTCGATGCAGCGCTGCAGCTCTGTCTCCTTTGCCTCGATAACCGCCGTGTCGTGACGGCAAAGCTGCTCGTACTGCAAAAGCGCCTGATACGCGTCGGGGGATGTGCGACGAAGCCGCGCAAGTTCTTCGGAAGAAAAACTCGCCAGAGGCGTCAGCAACTGAACTTTTCTTGAGCTCGGGTGAAGACCCTCCGCATCCGCCGTCAAATCACTGCTGTTCAGTCCCGTGTCCCTCGCCGGGCGGCGGATTGGCCGTAGCCCACTTTTCATATGTGGGAGTACAGAGAGGGTGTCTTGACGCACGCAAAAAAAAAAAAAAAAAAAAAAAAAAGTGAGGGGGCAAAGTGGAAAAAGGCGCGTACAGAAGAAAAACAAGGATGATAAAGGCGTGTCTAAATGCAAGCAAGCATCTCGTTTCGCAGAGAACTTTAACCTTCAACTCTTGTGTCGTGTTCCCTTCTCTTCTCCCGCCCCTCCACACGACGCCTGCAGAAGAAACACACGTAACTACGTCAAATACACATAAAAAAAAAAAAAATGAAAACACTCGGGAAAATAAATGCCCACCGTCCCTATTATTTCTTTCACTGCCTCTTTTTTCAATTTTTTTTTTTTTTTTTTTTTCACGTTCTTTCGTTTGTGTACTCTTCCGCCTTGTCTATCGCCTTGCTTCGCATCCATTCCGTTGAAATACACCAGCCTAGTTACCAGTCAAAACCAGCATGTCCACGCCATTAACTCCGGCGCCCGCAGTGCCCATCACCTGCTGGATATCTTTCTCAAGAGCATTGTGACCTTGTGGTTCCTCGGTGTGAATGGAGTGTAGTTTTGCCTCCAGGATTCGCTTCAGTTGATTGAACCACTCTACTTGTTGAACACTCCCCTCATAATTCTCTTGAATATCAAGGTGTCTTTGCTGCATCTCTCTAAGTCGCACCTGCAAGTCTTCAATTGCCCGTTCAAATCCCTTTTCTGCCAGAACGGTGACACCATGATCCTTGTTGAGGTGGTACAGCAGCCATCCCCTCGTTGGGTTTGCTTTGCCGCAGTATGTACACTTCAGGCCCCCCAATACGACTGTAGCCTCCTGCGCACGCTCGTCTTCCGTTGGAATCTCAGCACCACTCCTGAGAATCCCCGTAAACTCACGCTCAGCCTCAATACGATTCCATTGGGCGGTAATCAAGGCCCCTTGTGCCTGTAGACGATGATAAATAGATTCATTCATGTTTGTTTCGTCTCGAAGGGCTTGGACATCGCGCTCCATCTTCGATATGTCCTCCATAAGCAAACTCTCTTGATACTCGTAATTAGACTTCTTCGAAAGCCATTCCTGATCAACTTCAGTCGCCGTTTGCCGAACCTCTCGAAGCTCAGTAATCAGTGGTGCAAGCTTTGTTCGGCGTTCACGAATTGCCATTGTGAAATCTTGCACAACGCGTGAAAGTTCCTCAAGTGTTTTGCCCTTGAGTTCTTCAATTGTATCCTTTTCACGCGTCAGCTTGGTAAGGGCTTCCACCGTGCGGCTGTAACCCTGCAGCCCGAGCTTCCTTTCAAGATCGCCAATCTCGGCGTCAAGATCGTTAAACTGTGCCTTTAGGACGTTTTCGGTAAATGTCAGTACTCCCCACTCAACACGTAACTCTGACAATTTCGCCCTCATCCCCTCACTTGCGGCCTTTTTAGCTCGGACTTGATTTGAAAAGGTAAGAAATTCATCACCCTTCAACATTTGATGCGCCTCACGCAGTTGATTGATGCGATTTTCCCTATCCCGAATTTCATTCAAAGTGCGACTGTTGTCAGCCTGCAGGCTTGTGAGCATCTCCAATACCTCTTCTTTGCGCTTTGCCACCCGTTCCACTTGCTGTTTGATGGTTGAGATGGTGCTTCCATCTTCACCAGGCTTCTGCCGTTCCTTCACTTGATGCTGGAGCTTCTTTAACGCCTCATCGAGCTTCTGGTTCTCTGTCGTCAGCGCCTGCATGTCCAGAGGCTCAGAGATGAGCTTATCCAGCTCTTCATTCTCCCGACGCTTTTGCTCAAGTTCTTTTGGAAGATGCTCCTCGAGAATCATTTTGTTCGTTTGAATCTCATCTCGCATGCGGCGTACAATAACGTCCACGCGACCATCAGCGGCATCACGGCGAAGATTTTGTAGCCGGTTTTGCATCTCCGTGCTGCGCTGCTGTGCGGAGATGAGCGACTGTTGCAGCTCCACTCGCTTCTCCGCCAACTTTGACTCCTCCTCCAATGCCGCGCGGAGGGCTTTACTCGCATTCACAAGTGACTCCTTGTCGGGCACACCGCCAAGTTTTTTCTCCGCCACCTGAATGTAATCCTGAAGACGGTCCCGTTCCTCCTCAAGTGCGGTGACTTTTCGGCGCGCCTCCGCGGGATCCGCGTGAGCAGCCCGAAGCGCATCGACGCGCCGATGCGTTTGAACGAACATCAAGCGAAGGTTCTCATATTGCTGATAAAGGGCCCGTACATCTTCATCCTGAGCTCGCATCGCCTCTGGAATATCAAGCCGCTGAAGAAAACGGGCAAGGTACACACGCTTCTCGTTCTGCGGCATGTTGGATAGCACCCAGTAAAGTGTCGGATACACAACGGTCGGCTCGGCCTGAGCGAAACCGGACGCAAAATTGTCCGCCAGAAGCGCCGGTATTCGGTAGCCAAGAGTTTTCGTCAGGAACTCAATCATACGCGGTGCAGCCTCACCAATTGGCACCTCTTCCAAATCCATTTGTTGTGACTGCGCCAGAGTGCCAAAGACGTCGTTGACGATTTGAAGCAAGGGAACACCCTGAATGGCATCAAATTCCACAAGTGAATATTGCCGAGACAGCACCTTGTTTACATTATCAACAATATACTGAAGGACCTCCTCTTCTGTCAGGTCTGCCGCAGGACGTGGTTTATTGCCGCCATACGCGCCTGTTCCCTCGCCTGCAAAAGCGTTGCCATATGTCGAAGAGTTGCCGGGCGCCATCGAGAAAGCGGGGCTGGGGCCAGGGCCCGGGGATCCCGGTTTGCCCGTAATGTTCATAACTGTTTTGCTGGGGCTGTCGCTCAATCTTCCTTCACCTTGCTTCTTTTTTTTTTTTGCTTTTTTTCTCCTGTCATCATTCAAAAACAGTGAGAACAGAGAGAAGGCACCGTGAATATGTACCGGTAACCACAACGCGGAGCCAACGTACACATAAATGTCATTTCCCCTCACTCGTCATGACTCGCAGATTTTGGCTCTTACTCACCTTTCAACGTCTCCCCCTCGCCCACAAACGCCTTGTGTTTCCAAGTCGCAGCAGCCGCACGGCAAACAACACAACCAACAAGAAACACAAAAGACAACCGCAGCATCACAAAGAGGACGTGCATACAGACACCCCAACAAAGAGAATGACAAGGACAAGAAAGCCTTCAGGCACATCACATCACATTTCAACGATTTAGAAGCATAGATGTGGCACAATATATATAGATACGTAATGTTTGTATTGGCAGCAGCACCCACCAATCCACAAACACACTCGCCCACTCTTACAAAAAGAAGGGAAAACGCCGCAAAAAAGCAGAAAAATAAATAAATTACTTCATTTCTCCCTTCCATTTTTTTTTTTTTTTTTTTGCTCTTCTTCCCTTTCATTCCCTTTTCAGTTGAAGCAGCCGCCATTCTAGTTCGTCACGCGGGGTCGTCAGCGCAGGAATGATCAGCCCCGAAGGTGTCTTTATGGTGCCACTCGTAACCGATCTAACTGCCGAAGCACCGCCGGATTTCTTCTTCTCATCGACAACACTCAAAATCGCAGCGCCACTCGCGGCGGCGGCAGAGGCAACTAAATTGTTCGGGTCACGCAGCTTTTGCTCGTCGTATCCCTCGATGCTGTATTCGGTGGCGATCATGGTAAGGTACTGCAGGCAACGCTCATTTGATGGAGTAAATATGCCTAGGCGATCAATAATTGTCTGATTCACAGAAAATTCCGTGTTATTTACACTCATCATCACAAATGCCTTGCCAAACTTCATTTCAAAAAAATTCTTAATATTCTGCAACTCCGGCGCAATATCGCCCAGACGGGCGGAGGCCCACAAAACTGAAGTGACACTTTCCTTCAGCTCCGGTGGGCAATGTATCCCGGCAGCGTTACCTTTGGTGCCCTTAACATCGGCAATCATCTGCACACGGTTAGCGATAAGCTCAAGAAAGAGCGAAAGTGCCTCCAGGCCCTCAATACTCACATCATCGCGTATGACCTGCTCCACTTTGATGCGGGCTGAGTCGTACTTCTGCAACGCGAGAAGCTCCGCAATTTGGCGCCTTTGAATCTTTACACCATTGACTAGTTTGTTCTGCTGCATGCGTACACGCGTCACGGCCATTCGAATATTGGCCTTCACCTTGACCGCGTCAAACTCCGGCTTTTTGGAGAAGAAGGACTTCATGGCTGCTGCTTCAACTCCCAGTACGATGTCAATTATTACGATTGCCCCTCAAGTTCAAGTTGTGGCAGTAATCTTGTGTGCGTGTTTGTTTGTTTTCGTGAAAGGGGACCCTTGAAGATTAGCGTCCAGGCGCCAAAAGCAAAGCGCATAAGAGAAAAAAGAAAACAAACAAAAAAAAAAAAAAAAAGAAAAAAAAGAAAGAGAGAGAAAGACACACAAATAAAAAAAAAAAGCAACTCAATATAACAAGCAATTGCCAAAAGCGCCATTCACTGCAGCTAATGACATGACTGCCTGCTTGCGGAAGGTTATGGGTCCCTCTTCTCTCTTTCTCTCCTTCCCCTCTGCGCCACGACGGTACCAAAAAAAAACGCCAGAAAAAAACAGTCGCTGCTTCCCTCTTTTCCAGGCAACGCAAACTGCATAAGGCACAAGGAGTCCCATACGCAACAACAAAAACAAGAATAAAAACGACGGCAGAAACCGTCGGCTGCATGCTGTGCAACAAACGCCTCTCCCACCGCCACGCGGAGAGCGTATAGACGCCTTTGTCCCCACAAACACTGCCGTCGACAATGCCTCTCCCCAAATCTGGGATAACTTACGGCCCGTATTGGACTTTTCCGTTTCTCCATGTATAAACGCATGTGCCAGAGTCCGAAGTCGCACCTCTACGGAACAACCGCAAAACTGGTGAGGCGGAGGGTCAGCGTGTCACGCTGTGTGCTTCCATGGAGGCACGCTCGTATTCCATGTGCTGCAAAATAAAGTGCTACAAGATGAATGGAAGGCACTAACGTGCACACACAGAGATGTTGAGACAAAACAAGTAATCATGCAATAACCAAAACAACAGTATCGAATCATGTGCAATAAACACACACAGACCCACACACGCACAATAGCAATAATAGTAATAGTAATAATAATAATAATAATAGTAATAATAATAATAATAATGGAATTAAATAAAAAAGGAAAAAGAAAGAGAAAAATACAACCTCTGCGGAGTAAACGACATAACAAAAAGAAAAAATGACGTCAGGAATACAGGAGGGCATGTCATGGAACCAAAACGTTCCACATTCCCACCCCAAATGTGTGCACTGGTATGGGAAAAAATATGTATAGATACGCAAGAGACATGAGAAGAATAATAAAAAATAAAAAAAGGTATGGTAGGAGCGCGTGCAAAAGCAATATCGCCTTTTCACAGCCCCTATTGCACCTCCTCCCTCATGTGACTCTCTCATTCTCTTCCTTTGCATTGCCCCACATTCTTTTTTCTCTCCTCCTCTCGAACAGTCCATTCTGTCCTCCCTCGTTACCATCGTTGCAGTTTACTTCATCACGTCACCCAGATAAGACTTCCTCCAAGTATGTCTTCTTCCCGAGGAGAGCCATCGTGGCGCGGCACGTTACAATGATATTCACGTGGACACGTGAATATGATGTTTTAAAAAGTGTTTTACTCCTCTAAAGGAGGAAGATCTTCGTAATCATCGTCATTATTCCCAGTTCCCATGACATCGTTCTTTTTCTCGTTGTCGTTTTCGCCCTTTCCTTCCAATGCGCTCGAGAAAGGTGTCGGCTCTTTCTTCTCAAGCCCCTTCTGTAACATCATTTCCGACATCATATTGCCATAGTCAAAGCCCAGACCACCATCGTTTTCGCTATCTGCGTCATCGTCCTTCCAGCGTGACCAGTCCACCTGGATGTGGCAATTTTTCGTTTTTTCCTTTGTCAGTCGCGGCCAGGCGCGACATAGTGCCACTTCCTTCTCGTCACTGGCGTCGTTGGGCCACTTCTTCTTCAGTTTCAGCTCAATCTGCCGCGGAAGTGTCACGTGACTGCTCTCCTCTGAGGATATTTCACGAAACAGTTCCAAGACGCAGCCGTAATCCTGCCCACCGGCGGTGGCGGAAAAATGCAGCCGCCGCCCACTGCGAATCTCCACAGCGACGTTGGCAGCGTCCTGCAGCGGGATAGACACAAAAACGTGCTCCGATCGCTGCGCCCAGAGAATGTTTGGAAACACGACTTCTTTACTCGCGGACATGATTGACAGAATACCTCTCACCCGTCCCTTCCTGCGTATTGTCTTTGTCCGTTCTGCGCTTGGCCGCCCGTAACTAGTCTGTCACTGCTGGGAGGCGAGAAAGACGGTCCTCCCCTTCTAATCGATCCCCCTCTTACGCCGCGTTGAATTAACTACTTCTTCTCAACGACTGCAAAATGTCCAACTCCTCAACCCCTTCACGTACATTGACCCCGTGTGTGCGAGCCCAGCGAAGGGAACCAAAGCGCAGAAAGACACAAAACAAAAAAGAGACGCCATAAAAAAAAAACAACAAAAAAAAAAAAAAAACATAAAGACAACAACAACAGAAAACCACAAAAAAAAAAAAAAAAAAGAAAAAAAGTCATACTGTCATGAACACAACAGTGATCAAAGACGCCAAAAGACCGCACTTACGCACAGAGAGAGAAAAAGAAATTTGGCCCGTTTCTCTTCCACCTCCGCCTCCCACGAACCGTTTCAGCCGTTGTGGTCAGACGCCCGAAGACATCAGAAATGCACAAACTCATGCCTGCAAGTGACAAAATAATGCTTCGATACAAACAAATCAATAAAATTTGCATTTTTTTTTTATTTTTTCATGCTCGAATGGTTTCGTGTGGTTATGCACATGTGCGCCATTCCCCTCTCAAAAAACTCTACATTTACGCATAAAAAAAGCGGCCGACGGGAAGTAATTAAAAAAAAAAAAGTGCAGGACAACAATCAATAATGAAAAATGCAATATACATATATATATAAAGCGAAGAAAAGCAACTTGGTGTAATATTAGGGCCATCCATACAGAAACGAGACAAACTTCCCTTTTTCAGAACGCTCTGTTTTCTTTTATTATTCAATTTCACTTTCAGTCACTTCACAGCACAAACTAGAAATGGAGCTGTGGGAGAGAAAATACACCTCATCCCGAAAGAGAGAGGGAGAGGGAGAGAAAGAGAAAAGAAAAACGGCTTTTGCTTCTGAAAAGAATAAAAAGCAATCAAGCATACCCACAATGCACACACGTAGTGAAAAGACGCACCTTTTTTTTTTTTGGCCACATCCCTTGACACCCTTTTTGTTGTTGTTGTTGTTGTTTACTTCGCTTCGCTCTGTTCTCTCCCGCTCTTGCCTAGCCTCTCCCTTTAAATACTTTGTTGTTGCTTTTGTTGTTGTTGTTGTTTTCCTCGGCGTGTGTTCACTTCACTGTTCTCTTTTGCTTATGTCTTTACTTCTAGAGGTCGAGTAACTGAAAATGAGACGGGTGCGGAGAGGCTCACCGCCCCATTTTCATCCACCGTGTGTTGCGTGTCTAGGCGCGAACATGCCTCTTTCCACTGAACTTCGTGCTGAAGCCCGATAGATCACCCTTGACAAAGAGCTCGGTGGCAAGGGGCGGCACATCCAGCACGTACACAGGACCAAGTTCGGCGTCCTCCTCCCGCCGCGTTTTACCCAATACCCTCACCGATGAATCCTGCTCAAAGCTGACCCTCACGTTAAAAACGAAGTTTTTTGTATCATTGTAAAAGCCCCACCGACCTCTTTCTTCGTCCACAAGGCGAAAAAGCAGGCCGTTTCCACGGTCCTTGAAGCATTTGTACACCTTGTCGTAGTGCGGTATGATATATTTGTCTGGGCCGGAGTTCTCGTACTCGGGGAGCTCGTCTGGCTCTGTTTTTTCCAGCCCAACAGCAGAAAATGACATCTGATAGACAGTCGGGTTACCATCCGTAAGGAAGAGCTCCGTCGTGACAGGCGGCACTGTCATGAAACAAATGGTTCCATCCACCACATCGGGGTCTTTCGTCACGGTAGTCTTCTTTGATGCCTTATAGACGCTCTTGGGAGGAAATTTCACCGTCACGGTAATATTGTAATCGGTTGTGTCATTGTAAAAGGCCCATTTCTTCTCATCATCGTCAATGAGAAGAAACACAAGACCGTTGCCCTTCGCCTTGAAGCCCTTCAATATTTTACTGCATGGATATGCAATCACGTCGGGATTTGGTCCGCCATTTTCAAAGCAAATGTCACTTAAGTCCTCAGGTGGAACGTTATCCAAGGGATTTGCCACAAATGACTGTCGGTATTCGCGCGGATTGCCAATAAGAAACGTCTGCGTGCGCAACGGTGCCACAGAAACTTTGTACACCACCCGTCCCTCGTTCTCAGGATCACGCTCAACCCGTGTCATGCCCAGCGGACGTACGCAGCTCTTATCGGCAAACGTCACCTCCACCCCCATTGTGAAGTCCTTTGTGTCATTGTAGTAGCTCCACGTGCTCTCTCCAGTCTCCATGTTTGTCGAGACAAGGCGAAACAAGAGTCCGTTGTCGTGATCCTTCAGGCACTTGTAAACACTGTCGTACTGTACCGCCGGGCGGCCGTTTTTAAATTCAACATCATCTGCCGGCGCTGCCTCACTGAAAAAGTCGATCTCAAACCCCTCTACGTTGCCCTCAAGAAATCGCTCCGTGCGTCCGGGGTCAACCACCACAGTGGCGTTGTATCCCCATTCTTTGTTCTCCCCCTCTTCCCTCTCCGTTATCTTCGCCCGACCTAGAGACCTTACTTTGGATTCCTTGCCAAGTCTCGCAACAACGCGGAATATCATGTCCTCCGTATCATTATAAAAGGCCCACTGCTTCTTGTCGTTCACAAGACGAAATAAAAGGCCATTGCCTTTCCCCGAAAAGCAACGAAAGACTTTGTTGAACGCAAAACCGGGCGTCCCCCGCTCAAAAAGCCCACTGATTTCGTCCACGAGATCCGTCATCTTATTTTTTTTTCCGTCGCTCTTCGTTGGAGAAAAATATATTTCTTCACCTGCGCTTTGCGTGCGCACCTGCCGTTATGCATTTGTGTGCGTGTGTTTTTGAAACACAGTCGTTTCGTTCCCCCCATAGCGTGCATGCACGCAACGCAACAAAAGTAAGAAAAGAGGGAGAGAGAGAGAGAAAAAAAACGAAATACAAAGACAATCCATCGGAAATTGGCAGAGGCAACAAAGGGCAGAACAGGACCATCGACCAACGTCAAAGAAGAGCCGCGGCGACACCGCCCAGTGAAAAACAAAACAAGAAGACCAAAAAAGCAAAACGCGGAAAAACAAACTCCATCATCCACGCACACACACGCAGTGATGGAGTGAAAAGAGTAAAAAAGAAAAAGAGGGGGGAAAGGTCGTTTTCACCAATATTCATTGCGTCGTTTCGGGTGATACACAAGCAGAAGAAATAAACATTTCACTACCTCACTTTTCGACTCGAGACAGCTGTGGCCCCTGCTCCTGTTTTTCCACCAGCTCCTCTTGGACACGGCGCATCTCCTCCCGCAATTCCTGCAAACGCTGACTAATTCGATTCTCCCACTCCCACTCAAGATCGTCTATGGAAACAGCATGGAAGGAAGAAAGAAAAACCTTGAACTCTAGAATGGAGTTGAGGCGCTGCTGCATGCGTGCAACATCCGCAGCTAATGTCGTGGTTTTTTCACGCAACCGCATCCACTGATTCCATAGCGCCTCACGCTCGGCCTCCCGAAATTGCTTCACCTCTGTGAAAAGTGAGACCACCTCCAACAATGTCACCTCATCGTCGTCTGAGATCGGTAATGCAAGATGTGCTGCCAACGCGGGTACCACAGGCACCCACGGTGTCTTTCTCTTTTCTTCCCTCTCAGGCCCCGTTGTGGGAACGCGATCCTGCAAAAGAGCCTCCTCTTCTTTCTTCTTCGTCCTTTCCTCCAACAATTCTGTCCCTCCCAGCAATGGCAACGGCGCGCACTTCGGCGATTTGGGCGGAAAGGGCTTCCGAATGAATGAAGAGTCCCAGCAGAAAAGAAATCGCTCCACCACATCGCTGTATCGGCGGTACCTCACCAAATCCTCATTTATACGCGGCTGAACTCCACGAAGAGATTGTGGCTTCGGAGAAAGTGAAGTTGTCTCCTGCCGCATTTGTTCCATCAATTCCAACTGCTCCATTAGAAATGGGCGGACGACGACAGCGCAAACGCTCACAAGATCCCCAACAAAGTCAACGAAATCTGAGGTTTTGTCACAGTTTTCCTGGGATGCCGTCTCTCCCTGACACGCCGTCCCCGTACCGAGAGAAGCCAAAACAGCGAGTGAGCAGAGCACCGCTGGACCCTTTTTGCACACAAGCCGTCGAGCTGTGTTGCTGCGTCGGTTACCAACACGTAACTGCCTGCCGTGATCATCGCTGGTATGGCGGTAGCTTGGTGTATTGCATCCTGTGGAAAAGTTTGAAGTCGTCGAGGGACTTCGTCTAGATCGCGTAGAAACACCATTCTCCGATAAAAAAAAAAGAGCGTAGTAACAAAAACAGTTTTCGCCACAGCTACTGCTACCGCCACCACCCTCCTCAATTTCGCCCGTAAACTCATCTGTCACTCCATTTAAAGCGGTCGTTGAACCACTCGCGTGGCGTCGCATCGTGGTAAACTCTTCCTGTAGAGTCTGAAGAAGAAACTGCTGCAGCACACTGCCGTAAACAAAGGACGACGAAAGAAGTTCCTCCATATCTCTGCAGCAACCCAACCCACGCTCAATTAGCAAGCGAGCACACAAGAGCCGGCGATCTATCAATGCATGCTGGAGCCGTGCCATTTCGGCCATCGCATTTATGACACCTGAAGAATGGGAGTTGGATAAAGAATTTTGATCAGATTCTGACTGATGTTGCACTACTGGGCAAATCAACAAGCGCACCACCGTGAGCAATTCCTCCCGTAACGGCTGTGGCAAAGAAAAAGGTTGCTTCATGGCGAATAGAACGTTTAGTCGCTCAATGCCTTCCAAGACACAATTAGTTATCTTTGTGGCCAGCCCCGTGCTTATTGACATACCACTGCTACCATGGCTTTCAAATGCTAACAACAGTGTTACCACACGAAGTGCCTCGTAGATCACTGCAGGGGAATCTTGCATGGCCGGCAGTGAAGCGGCCTCGCCCAGGATGTTGCTGTATTCTTGAGCAACGTCCACTAAAAAATTGGGATGAGGTACGCGCCGAGCATCATGTCCGGTGTCGTTTTCTATCGAAATCGCAATTAACTCGTAGAGTCGCTGCAGCCGCAATGTGAGACTAGAGCCTTCCCCCGCTATCATCACGTATGCTGAAAGAGTAAAAACAAACCAAAAAAAAAAAAAAAAGCCTCAAAAAAAACAGCGGCACAACCGCTTTCAACAACAGAAGCGGGAAAACGTACAAATTTCAACAAGAAGAATAAAGAATAAACACCACCGCCATTTCCCACCCACAACAACGAAGAATGCACACGTAAGTTCTCACACCTATCAATCCCAATCCTGCAGGTCAAACCGTGAAAGTTCGTTCAGCAGATCAATCTTGGCCCCCTCAGATTTCACAAGTTTCTCGTCAATGTACCACTCCTGGTTTTCCAACGACTGCAAGGCCATTTTGCGTAGTCGATTCTTACGCCTCATTTTCAGCTCCCCAGTGAACAAACTACGATAATTCCGCAAGCTGCGCCTTACCGTTTGCAAGTTTGCGTGACTCCATTCGCCACCTGTGCGTTCAGCCTTTACCTCTTCTCGGACGAGAGATGGAGTGTGTCCGACTGCCAAAAAGTTGCTTTCCGGAAAATTCCTTTTCGTCTTTCCCGCGTTGCTGCCAAAAAACTCATCTTCCAAGTAGGAGTATGACGGTGTCATCTCCGTCCAATGGTGACGGAGCGGAGGACCGTCCGCCGGGATGTACTCCGTGTGCTCAAAACTCTCCTCGTATGTTATTGGATCCTCCTTTGGGCCGGCAGGGAAATGATCCTTAGTATGGTTTTCATTCCTGCTGTTACCCCCATTCTTCTTGTACTTGTTGCTTTCGTTGCTGCTTGGCTTCTTCCTAAGCACAAGAAGATCCACCGCTTGGTACGTGCGATAAAAGGCGTTCAGCTCCTGCTTGATTCGATCGCGACACTGCGGGTCAGCAAATTCGCGTAGGTACGCCATGTCACAGAGAGGGAACTCCTCACCGGTGTTGCACATTCCCGCCAGCGAGTGACGACGACGCACGACCAACTCGTACGGCCCTTCCAGCAATCCCGTGACGGCATCACTAAGGGACGTGAAAGGAACGACACCACTGTCACCGCGCCTACTAGAAGAATGCAATTGAGATAATGATATGTGTTGCAAAATGTCTTTCGGATCAAATGCCACTGGAATTATAAAGGGTACATAGCCACCGTCTTTTAAAAGAGGCGTCGCTCGCCTTTGCGGTTGGGTGAAACTTTCAGTGTGATCCTTCGAAGAATGAAGAAGTCGTTGCAGAAACTCGTGCAATGCAGACAGGCTAGAATGTGAGTGGTGATCCTCAGCAATCGGCGGAGAGTACTCAACGACGTTGAGTGATTCCTGCAGTAATGGCCATGATGGGAAAAGTGGTTTCATGGGAGGGTGAAACACAAGAAGATCAAACGGACCAAATTCGCTCTCCGGCGCCGCTGTGACCTCAGCAAAAGAAGAAACAGAGACTTGTGGATTGTCACGCATAAAGCGCTTCCGTGCCAGAAGTCGGCGACGCGCAGCTGCAGCGGCCAAAGTACTTCTCTCCTCCATCAGGGGGCTTGCCATTTCCCCCTCCTCCTGCTTCGCCACAGACCCCAGCTCAGGAAGCAAATCGCATCGGATAAATCGCACCCGTTTCGCCACACTTGTTGCGCTGCGCCGCTCGCGCAGGTGTTCCCGGAGTGTCGCCTCCGCACTTCCCAGCGCATGCGCAGAGACGTCAACGGCAATCACGTGCTGCGCCCCAGCCTTCAAAAGAAGATCCGTCATGTAACCGCTATGGCATCCACAGTCAAGCGCTGCAAACCCAACAGTATTACTTGAGGTTCGCTCGCCTCGCCAAGATGGCGGGGCAAATGGCTCAGTTGCACTCCACCATCGCATCGTATCATCCCTCATTGATAAATCAACATTTGATGTGTTTCTTTTATCGGCATCGCCAAGACGCCTTTTTTCTTCCTGAACTGGCCTTCGCCGGAGCAACCACTGCAGCAAATGCACGTACGGCATCTGCTCTGTATTTAAACTGGGACAATAAGTGCCATGCCACGGATGCAGCAGATAACCATTGCGATGCCACTCGGCACTTGTTATCCCACCGCCCCATCGTACACCACGATGGTAGCGCACAAAAGACTGTACAAGCCGCATGAGTTCTACGAAGGAGACAAATTCCTCCTCCCTGTCAGACGATGGAGAGGCGGGAAGCGCCATGTCCATCCACTCCACAAAACCCTCAATTATTTCTTCCTCACTCCTGGGACGCCCTTCCTTTGCCCCCCCAACGGCACGATGGAAGTAGCGCAGGAGGAACATGGGGAAATCATCTACCTCCTGCACCACGTCAGAAGGAAGAAAAACAGTCGATTGCAGCTTCACCACAAATTGCTCTGCCAGCTCTTGCAACTCCATTAGAGTTCGTGCGCCGCGATGACTCTTACGAAGCGCCTCTCCCCCCTGCAGCCCCGCTTGAGCTGTCGGAGCAAACCCTAAAGAGATCTCCTGAATCAAGCACCGGACGTGATTTTGGCAGTCGTGAAGACTGCGGTACACCACTGGCCCGGAAGTCGTCGCAGCCGCAGTCGAGGCCCGACGAAAAGAATAAGAACTCGCTGAAAATGTCACCCCACCGTCAGCGACACTCATTGTATACATTGCCGCCTTCGCCGCATACTGCCGCCCCAAACGAGTCAACAACTGCATTTCCCCCTCCAAGGCCACACTCTCTCCCGTACACCTCCCGAGACCCTCCAAAATCCAACTTTACCCCTTTTCTTTTCTGAGGCGTGTGTGCGTATTTGTGTATCGAGTGTCCTTCCTTTACATTTCATCACGTTGCATAAAAAAGAAAAAAAGTAATAATAATACGTATACAAATAAAATAAAAAGGTTAATCAAAAAAATATCCTTACAACACCAGCCAGAAGGATCCGACGTCCAACCGCATCCAATCATGACGTCACAACCACTGTCTTTAGGTTTTGGCGCTCAGCACCTCCTTAATCGTGGGAGAGAGGAACAAAAGACGCAAAGACTGAGGAGAAAAAAAAAAAAAAACCTTTCAGTGTCAACGACGGTTTTTCCTCTTGCCTTTTGCCGTCTTCTTGCCGTGTCCCTTTTGAGAGTGTTTTTTGATTTTGCGAATCTTGGCCAGCTCCTTCAACATGCGCAGACGCGGTTTTGTCTTGCTAGGTCCCTTCGTCTCCTTCCTGAGCCGCAAAAGTTCCTGCTCCACCACCGCTGGGAGATCAGAGAAGTCGTTGGCCGGAAGCTTCGGAGTCGTGGTGGCGCCGCCACTGCCGCTCGCAGCCGCCAACCCGCCAAAAAGCGGCTTCACTTCCACTGTAACAAAGTCATCATCAAGGTGGCTTTTGCGGTCGGATGTTGTCTCTTCACTACTTCCTCCACGCATGGCTGTGGGTATAACGTGAACCGTCTTCCCCGCGGCGATAGCAGAATGGCGTCTATTAACGGTGACATCGACCACGTCATTCTCCTCACGGGTGTCATGCTCGCTCTCGCTCTCGCTCTCCGCGTCACCGTCGTCTTGCGGCAGTTGATACGTAAAGTTCGGCAGGATAGGGACGGCAGCAAAGCGGTTGTAAGCCTGTCGCGCCTCCTCGCGTTGTGCTCGACGAGCCCTCGCGTTCTCGCGCCTCGTTTTCTGCCTCGCGTCTACAAAAGCCTTCACACGGCGTTCGTTCTTACACTTGTGCATTGTGAGAAGATACTCGCGGCGCGCATTTTCGTCAAATTTGATCGCCCTCACCCGCCCCGAATTCCCACCGCCGCTGTTTCTATGAGCGTCCTTAGCGCCTGATTTCTTGAGACGTCTGCGCTGAAAACTTTCGAAGCGATCGACTTTGAATCCTTTCTTTTCACGCCCCTTTTTGTTATTCCCACCATCTTCATCGAAAGCCGTCCCCCTGTTCATCATACGGAAACCACGCGACCACGCTTGTGCACACATGCATGGAGAAGATAAATGCACACACACAAAGTGGAAACCAAAAAAAAAAAAAAAAACATGCCGCGCCACGCATGAAATGACAAGTTCAAGAAATAAAAATAAAAAAGGATACACCAACACAATATACCGGAAGACCAGCAGAGAGAAGGGTAATCATACGGGGTCCCATGCATAAGACCAAAATGCGTGAATTTTATTTCAGCAACAGTAAATAAATAAATGAATCAAAAAAAAGCAATAATGACGCAAGTATCACCAACTCTACCTCAACTATATGTATATAGCGAGAAAGCAAGATAAAATGAATACGGAAGAAGAGAATATTTTACACACGATTTGACCCATTGGCAACTTCTCGAGGCTCTTGTGGAGTTGTACCCCCACTATAAGACCGACATAAAAACAGGGTAAATGGAGGCAACGGGAGTATTTTCGCCTCCCTCCAAACACCCACACAAACACACACATAAAAAAACAAAAAGATCCCAGGCCATCCAATGGATAGGAGTTCATAAAAATTATTTTGCCGCCAACGCGTTCCGTTTCATTCATTTTTCACGCAGCACCCATCGTCGCATCAATAACTGTATTGCAGTTGGCGTCACTGCACCTCCAGCCGTGCGTAGCGACAACGGCGTCTTTGTCGCACATTGCCAGCAGGGCGGCATGCCCATTGCACAGACGGTGCATGTCCTTTACAAAGTGTGTAAGCCATCATCTTCGTCGGCAAAAAGAAGAACTGCTCTCCAAAAGGAAAAGCAAAAACGCGGGAACCAGACGGCAGCTGGAACGCCATAATACAACCTCCGCTGCAGCGTGAGAGTCTCACGTGATGGGGCGTCAACTGTCGTTTATCGGTTCCCCGGCCCCATCCCTTCCTTCCTTCCACGCCATCCTTCTTCCCCAAATTGAAAGGAGGCTTCGTAAGAAGTTAATACACACCAGCAGGAAAAGCAAAATCATCCTCCACTCCCCATGCGCTTCAGCTACATGTCCTCTGAAAAGCGGCAACAAAAAACAAAAACACAATTTCCTTTAAGAACGCAGGCGTCACTCAGTAAAAGCAAAAGCAAAAACAACAACAAAAAAAAACTCTTGAAATAGAATTCTTTGTACTAACTGACGTTTTTTTATTAATTCAAATATGTTTGGGGTTACACTACTCACAATTTTTTTTCTCCTCATATTTTCAATTTCGTTTTAATTCTCACTCGCATTTTTATTTTCCCGTTTCCTACCGCGTTTCCCACGCCCCCACTAAATAAATGCCATCGAGTAGCATTTCCCCTTCCTCAATGTGCTTTTATATAAAAAATAAATGTGCGGATATCCATTGGACGCACCGTCACTTTTTGGATCTGGCGTTGCACTATCTCCACCGCTGTTAAAGAGACTTCATCGATGCTCAAGATAGTTATCCAGTGAAATTCTTTAAAGATTGTCATTAGATCCACTTCGACAGGCAACGAGCGTTCAGGGTCCTCACTCACAGCGTAACGGTGTCCAAGACGCAAGAGCAAATTCTGCTGATCAATTAATTGCAGTGTGACAACCTGCAGGCTTGGCGGCAGCGAAAATCCAAAAGACGTGTTATACCGCGCAATTGTGGATGCAGCATCAGTAGAAGATGAGGAAAACATGACAAGTGGCGTATAATAGTTCTCATCCTGTTGCTCACGCACACGCCGCATCGCTGTTGGTCCACTCCGTGACACTGAAAATGACAGCGTGCCGCGAACACGCAGGGGAGGGCCGTAATGATGGCCACAATTACTTGTATTTGTCATCACACAATCCGCGTAGCTTGTGACAAAAGCGGTTTCGTTTAGAGGTTCCCCCACGCCTTTAAAGTCGTCACGTAAAAGACGTCGGTGAACCACAAAAAGGACCTCACCGCTCTGAAGACTCGTGCCGCCCATTGGGGCATCAGGAAATACGTTAAACTGCGTTTGGGTGTCGTTGATGAAAAAAACCGAAGTCACTGGGTAGAAATTACCCGCCACGGGTTCCGTCTGCGTAAAGGGGTAGTCGCTGCGGTGGTCCACACGCCGACGCTGCATTTCTCTTCCGTTGCTGTCCGTGTAAAACACATCCCCGCTCTCCACGGAGGTGCGGAATCGGGCAACAAGCTCGCGGCCAAAGTTATCGTGAATGGGAATGCCAAAAGAGGTAAACTCCACATCAACAAGATCACCGCGAAGAATTACCCGTTGCACAAGGTCCTTCCCAAAGCGTTGCTCCACAACCCCCATCCTGCGATCCACAAGACGGAGCTCCACAGGGGAATCTGTTATCGGGTTGCACGTGGCATTCGAAACAGGACGCATAATGTAGGCACCACCGGGGCTTAAACTGACAGTATCTCCATCATTGCTGATATAGTAGCACCAATCCTGTTTCACTGCCACCGTTTGGCCACTTGATCGAACAGTGACACTTTGTATTAGGCCGTTACGTCCAAACTTAAGCACGAGGGCCTCATTTGATATTTCCAAATCGTCTTCCGATGGTCGCACAAGCGAAACCAACCGGGAATTATGCTTTTTGGTAGCAAATTTCAATTGGGGAGTAAAGAGATTTAATAGTGTGAGCCTCACCAGTTGAAGTTCCACCCCTAATGTATAAGGCTGCCACTCTCTGTTCTCATTCGCATAGTCACTAATCTGCACTGGTGATTCAAACACGGAGTACCGCAAGACGCCTTCGCCCGATATAATGACATCGGACCGCGGAACAGGAATATGTACAATTGTCCGCTGGACAGAGTGAGCATTTGGGTTCCACACAAGCACATTAACAACTGCCCCTTCCTTTTCAAATGCCTTGGCAGTGGCGGAGCACACCGACACGTTAGATAAGAGACAGTGCTGGGCATTTTCAAACCCAAAAGGACATCCCGAAAGCGCAGGACGTAACCGAACCGAAAGATCTTCCTTATAGGCCTCTGTGAGGCGTTTCGCGTAATCAAAGGCCACATGCTGCTTTGCTGTACCTGTTATAGCGTCGTGGTGCTGTGCAATGGCAAGGGCATCACTCAGCATTGGCACTTCACCGGTAGGCACACCGGCCAAAAACTCCACTTGTCGCGCAGCCGTCCAATAGCTGCTTAGTCGTCGCACAAGTCGCTTCAGCGCGGGGCGCGAAGAGAAGTAACCAGTCCAGTACTCATGTGGAGCACTTGCATACGGAAAGAAATCCCCTTTTTTGGTGTCGTACACAATACCCTCGGAATGTTCTTCGCGTTTTGCCATTGCGTACTCGTACGGGGTGGAGTAGCGCACTTCAAACTCCCCATCAGCGTTGACGATTTCAATGAGTCTGTCCATTTTGCCAAACCACAGCTCACTTGCAAAATAGTTAAAGTCACAGCCCATGGTCCACATGATATTCTTTCCACGCGTCTGTCCCACATTCCTTCGTACCTCCGTCTTGAAAAGCTCAAGTATAAAAGGGATGTTGTAATTTTCAGAAGATTTATCTTCAACAAAATTGAGTGGGTCAGTATTTCTTACAGCGCTTATCCAGTAATCCACAACATCCCACGAAAATTTGCTCGGGGGGCAATACGTTTGGTGAAGATTTATCTCCGCAAATGTTTGCAGCTCTGGCAGTGAAGGGCTCGGCTGCCACCAGAACTGTCGTCGTCCCGTGCTTGCACGGTACTCAAAATCCCGGTAGTCCACACGGGCAAAGAACGTTCCAACAAACCCTGCGCGGGCCGTTAGCATCGCCCCCTGCGTGGCACTGTGGCCAAACGGGTCGACCTGCCACCCCACGCGGGGCACAACCTTCAGCTCGCGCCACAGCCAGCGGTGACCAATAGTCGTCTGATCGATCATGTCAATGAAATGTGTGGTGGCCTCATCGTGCATGCACCACCCTCCATTTGCAAACTGTAGCTGGCCTTTGGCAACAAGATTCCGCACAATATTCCGCATTTCCTCCCCCTGTTCTTTCCACCACCGAGAGAAGAAACCAATCTCAACATAGGTGAACTTTCTCTTGGGATTCAACAGTAATCCGGCAATCACGCTGGAGATAATGCCGTTCACATCTGCTAACTGGATAGTGTTGTTCAGGCCGTATTGATACTGTTCCACCGTCTTCAGCCACCCCATGTCGTCATGGGTGTGCGCGACAAGATGTACGGTGTTCTTCGCGGAGACGGAAAAAGACAAAATAAGGGCGACAATAAAGTACGCAAAGAGCGCCGTAAGCAACCGCATTTTGCAATAGAGCCAATAAATTTATTATATATACGTAGATATATGTAGATATATATGTGTACGCTGATAATCCGGTGAAAGAGCGCCTGTTTCCTTACATACTCATTTAAAATAATAACGAGAGAAAAAAAATAAAAATAAAAAACATCGGCCGGTGTCTCAGTAACAGCAATGAGCAGAAACATTTTTCAAATCCACACGCACAAAAGTTTATATTTACTTCAGCGAAACGAATAACGGGCTTCAGAGGCCCTCAAGAAAATCCAGCGGGATGCACCCACACCAGCCGACCCTGCACAATGGCAGCAATGCGGTGCGGCAAAACAAAAAACTACAAGTCCCAAAAATACACGCCCAGCTTAAACCGCCATCCTCAGTCGGCATCATGAAAAGGCGATTGCCAAGCAGACACAAATTTCCTTTGCCCATTTCTCTCTCAGCGTCAATAAACTGAAAAGAGATCGCTGCCCCCCCCCCCCCCCCCTCCAAAAAAAAAATAAATAAATAAATAAACGACGCAAGGCACCCACCAGCGCGATTTGTTATCCAACTGTCACATGGAAAAAAAGAGGCCTTCACTTCCAGACAACGGGGGTCAGTGCAACAGCGCCAGGGAGTGTCTGCAGCACGACTAGTGGCTGCCTGGGACATGAACACCCGTCAACTGCACCGCAATGGGCGCAGCCGTCGCCGGTCCAAACGCTAGTCATCCCTCGGACTGAAAGAAATAAAAAAAAAAAGAAAAGAAAAAAAGAATAGAAGAAAAGAAATAATTCAGAAAACCACAAAAAAACAACAACAACCAAAAAACAAATAAAAAAAGTTCAAAAAAGAGCGGCAGTGTGACACCATGACATCGTGTTGTTGACAAAGTCACGGATAAAATTAGTTTATCGCATAAAACCCACGAATTAAACACAGAATAAAATAATAATAATAATAATAATGATAAAAAAAGGAAATTAAATAAATAAGAAACGAACAAATCAAGAACTTTTCGTTTCTTATTTATTTAATTTTATTTCATTTATTTATTTATTTATTTTTTCAGTTTTGTTTTCTTTTCTCGAAAACAACACAACACACAATTCATCTTTTTTTTTTTTTTTCTTGTTGTTCCTCTTGTTGTTGTTTTTGTTCACCACATGTCGTTTCATTGTCATTGACATGATTTTTTTCTTTCTTCCCTTGGCGTTGACCGAAGACAGTTCCCAGTCACTCTCAGCCCGATATTCCCAGGCCCATTCACATCATTTCCATCATATCGATCCGCCTTCCCGTTTTATTCCCCCCATTTTATTCTGTTCTTTGCCATTTCTTTCGTCGATCGTCATTGTCTCTA